ATTAGTGGAGCTGAAGCTCACCAGCTTCTCCTTGGAAACCCTATACAGGGTCGCTATGGGTCGGAATTGACTCAACGGCACTTAACAACAACAACAAAGAAGCTCTGGTAACGTAGTGGCTACAAGTCAGGCTGCTAATCTCACGGTCAGCAGCTCAAAACTACCAGCTGTTCCGTGGGAGAAAGATGAGGCTTTCTGCTCCTGTAAAGATTTACAGCCTCGGAAACCCTGTACAGGTTTGCTAGGTGTCAGAACTGACTCCACAGCACATAACAACAACAACCCTGACCTATGTTGTTGCTGTTGCTGTGTGCCATCTGGTGGGTGCTGACTCATAGGGATCCTTATAGGGTTTCTGAGAGCAGCTGGTGAGTTTGAACGGCCAGCCTTGCAGTTAGCAGTCCAGTGCTTACCCTACAGTGCCACAGCACGGCCTAATGGAGTTGATGGCAGTGGTCTTATGGAGCCCACTACAAGGTGGCTCAACTGAGGAGTACAGAGACAGCGTCCTGGAATTTACCCCCATCGTGATGGTGACTGCAAACAAATCACAATCCCTCTTCACAAATCAATTTCTGATCCACTGAGGTGGTAATCATTCAAGGCACTGGAGATGGTAATCATTCAAGGCTTCTTCTTTTAGCTCAAAGATTGTATAACAAAACAGAGCGAAACACAACCAGCTCAGAGGATTGTTTGAACTGGATGAGTGAAAGTCATATACAGTGCTCAGTGGAGTGTTTGGCAAAGGGAAAATGCTCAGCGATGATGGCGGTGGTAACAGTGACAGCAGCAATGGTACTTATGGTGATAAGAAGGTCATCAATTCCGCCCACCTCTTTCTTATCAGGAACATTACTTATTTTCCAGGCCCATGAAACGTTCCAAAGTGCCTGCCATAATCTGAATTATGGTAAATTTACCTATCTCTAGCTGCCTCATGTCTTCTCACCCAGTCACACAGGAGCACTTGCTCTGTACCGCCGACTGGGGTGCAGTACAGCATCAGGCACTCAGTGAGCACACTCACGCACGTGTTTTCACAGTGAGCTCTGTATACCTAATAGAATAAACGCTGCTGTTGTTGCTGTGAAGTGCCGTCGAGGCAATCCCAACCCATAGCAACCCTGTATAGGGTTTCCGAGGAGAAGCTGGTGAGCTTGAACCACCGACCTTGCAGTTCAAACAGTTTTGCAGTCTGGCACACCAGTACTCCAATAGAATAACTAACATCAAATAAGAGTTCTATGCACTTTTAAATTTTTTTCTATGCACTTTTATACAAATTCACTCATTTCTTCCTCACAGTAACTCTACGAAGTTGTTGTTGTTGTTAAGCGTCGTCGAGTCAGTTCGAACCCACAGCAACCCTGTATAGAATTTCTGAGAAGCAGGTGGTGAGCTTGAATCGCCGACCTTGCAATTCAACGTGACTTTGCAGTCCAGCGCATTAACCCACAGCGCCACACCTGGACAGGAGTCCAACAACTCTATGAAGTAAGTACTATAATTTATGTACCCATTTTACATGTCAGGAAACAGACATGGAGAGATGTCAGTGTGCACACACGTGGCAGGAGTAGGACTCTAACTTGAGCCATCTACCTCTAGAGCCCCCTTGAGAACTACTCTCCAATGTCTAATGTACTTTCATTATAGAGTCCAGATCTCCAAACACATCTCTGATGCAGGAACAATCAACTCTGGCAAGCTCAACACTCTAAACACAGGGCCATGTTTCTGCCCCACTCCCTGGGATGTGTCCCACTAAGAAGTTAGCACAAGAATGCCCAGGAGCCCTCCTCCCCAACCCTCCAACAGCCAGCCACCACAGTAAGCACTCCAGCTTCTGCTTCTTGCAAGTAGCAACAGGTTGTCATAGTAACCAAAGCAGTACCAGAGCAGACAAGAAAAAGAAAAGCAGCTTCAGCATCACACAGGCAGAGCTCAGAACCTTTGCTGGATCTTAAGAGTCCTGGTGTAGCACTGTGGATAAACACTGGGCTGTTAATCACAATGAAGGCAGTTCAAACCCAGCAGCCAGTCCTCGGAAACCCTGGGGTTTTGTAGGAGGTCCCTATGAGTTATGGACTAGAAGGCACTTTACAACAACTGAGCTCTAGGCCACCTAGTAGGAAATTTGTTTGTTGTTTTTGTGATTGTTTTCTATTAAATTTACATAATACTTTGAGAAAAATTTATGGAGCTCTGGCAGCATAGTGGTTATGAGTTAGGCTGCTAACCTCAAGATCAGCAGTTCAAAACTACCAGCCATTCCATGGGCGAAAGGTGCCGTAAAGATCTACAGCCTCGGAAACCCTATGCAGGGTCCCTAGAGTCGGAACTGACTCCACGGCACATAACCACCTCTACTACCAATGTCTATTGGTTATGTGGTTAAAGTGCTCTACTGCTTACTGAAAGGAAAGTGGTTGAAACCCACCAGCTGCTCTGCAGGAGAAAGATGTAGGAGTCTGCTTCCTGCTCCCATAAAGAGTGGCAGCTCTGGAAACCCTACAGGACATTTCTACTCTGTCCTATAGGGGTCACGATGAGTTGGACTTGACTTGATGGCACACAAGAACAATATGACATAAATTAAGGGATGTGGGAGAGGAACATGCATATTGAATGAAGGGGTGACAATGGGGAAGGGAAGAGAAACCCCTATAAGCAACATCACAACCATACTTTAACAGGAATGAGAGAACAGTATGCAGGTATCCTGGTGTCCTATAAGCAGCATCACAACCATACTTTAACAAGAATGAGAGAACAGTATGCAGGTATCCTGGTGTGGCACTGTGGGTTAATGCACCAAACTGCAAAGCTGTTTGAACTGCAAGGTCGGTAGTTCAAGCTCACCAGCTGCTCCTCAGAAACCCTATATAGGGTCGCTATGGGTTGGAACCGGCTTGACAGCACTTAACAACAACAACATAGCCCATCCTCCAAAGGAAACCCACTTCTGTCTTTAAGATTCCTGATATTCAAGCCAAGGAGACACAGCTCAGACTTCTGCTCCAGCTCATGGTAACTGTGGTGATTGTGGTGGTGGTGGTTATGTGCCGTGGAGTCGGTTCCGACTCACAGCAACCCTGCACAGGGTTTCCGAGGTTGTGAATCTTTACAGGAGCAGAAAGCTTCATCTTCCTCCCGCAGAGCGGCTGGTAGGTTCAAACTGCTGACCATGAGATTAGCAGCCCATCTTATTATAACCACTACACTACCAGAGCTCCTTCACAGTAACTGTGGCAACTCTCAAACTAATGCTGAGAGAATCAGCAGCAGGCGGTATGCAGAAGGGGACATGACTAGTGGGAAAACGACTCCATACGTCGGTCTGCTCTTCCTCTGTCACAAAGTTCTTCACGACCTTCTGAAGCCACTGTGCATTCTCAGGAGAGGGGCAGCAAAGACCTCGAGGCAGGGAGCACCTGCATCAATGAGAACTCAGGGAAGGGGAGCTTACTCAGCCATCACCGGGCTAGGTCAAAGTTGTAAACAAAATCTCAATGGAGTGAGAGTTCCCTTAAATTACACATTCTTTTAATCTCTGCTATAAAACCAACACGCTCTAATCTCTTCGTGAGATACGTAAACTGTAGAGTTGGCATAAAAGTGCTGTCAAAAATAAACAAATACAACCTTCCCCCACCCTCAAAATATAAGTAAATAAATAAACATCAATTCTGACTCAAAGCAACCCTATATAGGGTTTCCAAGAGTGTAACTCTTTACAGAAGCAGACAGCTTCATTTTCCTCCTGCTGGTGGGCTTGATCGACCAACTTTGTAGTTAGTAGCCCAAAGCCTAACCCTCATCGCCACCAGGGCTGTAGACTGGGGGGGAAATCTTTACCACAGTCCCGCCTTCAAATTATGGCCACCACATGGCCCTCTGAACAACTGTGAGTGGATGTCATTGTTTTGGGATGCCAAACGCATCTATTTCTATCTAGAAAGTAAATAGCACTTAATTGAGAAAGACAGAAAGACCCAATTCTTTACACTTATCTTTTTACCCCTACAATTACTTCCTCAAAGCCATTTTAAAACCGAGTATATCCACTTCTTGATTATTACCATAATTAGGTTCCAAAGACCAGGTTGTTACACATCAAATCACACAATGGAAATTGACTACATCATTACATTATTGCCAAATTACATGACTACAGAACTGCCAAACCACTGAGACTCATACTCCAGATAGTTGACACATAACCTTAACCACCACAGCCAGCCACAAATGCATAAAATAGTCAGCAAATTTTTTTACTGTTGCTGTAAATGTGAAATGATGTAGAGTAGGAATGAAATCCTTATCACCTAATAACAGGGGAGATGTTGCCCCAAAAGTCCTGGCAAGTGATGCAAAAGACTGTAGCAGAACTGATTCACAACTGTGGAAAAACATGCAGAAAATCTTGAAAATCCTTTTGCTATCACTGACTCCAAAGAAAACATCTTCCCTGCAGACAGCCTTTAATGCTGCACTGACTATATTTTCCTAGTGATTTACCACAGGACAAGAAGCCCTGGAGAATGGACTTGATCTTTCACCTTTGACAAATGAACAGGAGTCTCTTTGCAGTGTTTCAATAACACATTCAAATCAGCCTAAATGTTTGCTACAGCCCCTCTAGGTCAATGATAACAAAAGGCAACTTCTGGGCCAAAGTAGTGCTGAGGAGGTGGCTTTTGTTTTGTGTTTTGATTCTGTTTTTTCTGCCTCCACAATGTTCAATATGAATTTTTAAATTATTTTCCTACGATTTCCAAAAACCAGAGATTTTTTTACATAAAATTCTGGTCTTCTAGTTTCTCTTGAATAAGTGTCCAAGCACACAGCTATGAAGTAACATGAAGGAGATCTGGTTTCTACCTTGGGACGATTTGTGAAATAACACTTCGTGATGAGGCAACAAAACACTGGAATGATTGCTCATAGACTTGACCACTCAGACAGTCTAACTTAAGTCACTGTGAAGAAAAGATGAGCTGGGCTCGAGGCTTATCTGCCCACAAAGTCGTACTGAAGGAGGTGGGCTTGTGGTTGCATCTTCCACACCTCCCACTCTAAAATCTAAGAACAACGTCTTGGGGGAAGTCTTACCTTGGCAGCCCCAATTTGCTCCTTTCGAAATTTCTCCAAAGGGGTAATGAGTACTTCGCTGGCATTCTCAATCTGGAGAGGAAAATGAAAGTGGGGAGGGGGTGGGTGGGTGAGCAATACAGAAGCAGTATCAGTAAAGAAGTACAACAGCTGTGGCATTCTGGGCTAAAACTCAAGTACGCAATGTTGTGCGTGCATAAACTGCTCACAATACTTGAATCAGTGCATGTCAATCTCAAGCCTAGTCATCAGTTCTTTCTGAGCATGATTAATATTGATCCTTTAAAAATAAAAATGAGGAACTCTAAAAATCTCAGCCTCTGAAAGCAGAGGGGAGCGCATGACAGACTAAGTTTCAAGCGTCAGGTGACATCTTTCCAGTGCCTGTCCACTCAAGTTATATTTAAGGTAGCTCAACACTAAACCAAGGTTAAAAACAAACAATCAAACAGAAACAGGGCACCTCTGGACATCTGGTGGCAAGACAAACTTTCTAAGCCTGACCTTGTATCGTCCTACCAGGTCTGCTATCGAGTCAAGGCATCTTCTGCTCCTGAATGCCTCTCAACTTTCTCACCGCTGCCAGCCCCTCAGCTTCTCAATCTAGAGCTGCCCTGTCCTCTCCAGTCCTCAAATACACTTCCAAGGTCCACCTACGGGCCTCTGCCTGGGATGTTCTGTCCCCAAATCCTCACATGGCCGGCTTCTTATTTAAAGTTGCAGCTTCAAGGTCACTTTTAAGGAGGCTTCCCTAACCACCAAAGCAATTCAAAAAGGCTTCCCACTACCCCACCAAGTGTTTTCTTCAAAACACGACACCAGCTGCAACTTTCCTGCCATCCACTACATATAACTACGAGGGACTTCAAAAAGTTCACGGTAAATGGAATTAAAAATTAATTTTAAAATCTCCACAAACATTCTGAAGCCCCACCCCCTTGTCTATCTCTGCCCCCAAGAACCCAGAAGAATGCTAGAACAAAGGAGCACTCAAAAATGTTTTAATCACTCAATGAATTAGTGATTTCTTGATCAGCTGCCAACTGTGTGGCCATGGGCAAAATATTTAACCTCTCTGGGTTCTAATTCCCTCATCTGCAACATGAGTGGGTTGGATTGTTCCAGCTCTAAGAGTCCATGGTCTTTTCTAAAGCAGTACAATATTTAACAATCTTTCCTCTCATGTCATTCATTGCTCACTTTTCACTCAATTATTTCAGAAATCTTGATGCAACAATGCATTATTTTCTAAATCACATGTACACCCACCAACAATGTTAATGACTGAAGCCCTAGACTGACACAGGAAAGGACCAGGTAGAAATGTGAGAGACAAAAGAAAGCAGGTCTCTAGAGTCTCTAGAGTCCATCCCATTTCCTTTCTTCAAATTTGCAAGCATTTATATCAGAGACATGGCCATCTGCTTCCATAAAGATTTACAGCCTTGGAAACCTTACAGGGCTACTGGACTCTTATAGAGTTGATATGAGTCAGAAGCAACTAGATTGTAGTGAGTTTGGGGTTTATTTCTGAAAAATTCATTTGAACACTAGAGTGCTACTTAAATGGTTCACTTGTTTAAGTCTTTTCCACAAATGAAGTATAAGTCTCTACAGCTCATAATGGTGTGCTGAACCTGCAAACCAGTGTTCCTCAACTTTGCCTCCATGTAAGAATCACCTGGGAGTAAGCCCAAAGCATACTCCAGACATATCACATCAGAATTTCTGGGTCTTTCTCAAAGATCAGTACTTTGTAAACTCTCCAAGTTATCCCAGTAGGCACCCAGGTTAAGAAACCAGCCCTAAGTGGATGCTAAATGCATAATTGCATTCAACTGCTCATCCGGGAACCAGGGCATTCAAGTCTTTGTCTCTGTCCCGCTACTACTTGGCAAGGCCCAGTTTTGTCATCTGTCCAACATCAGGTTACAGATGGTGATGACTCAGTCCCCTCTGGGTCTAAGATTCTAAGACTGTATAACGCCCACTCAGTTCTAAGCACCACGGTACGATGCTGGGAACCCGGAAGCACATTCTCTGATTGCTCAGTGATTGGGAGGACACAGTGTGGCAAAGGTACAATCAAAGACACAAACTGGTTATTCAGAAAATAGAGTCCAACCAGCTGCCATTAAATCGACTCTGAGTCATGGCAATCTTATATGTGCCAGAGTACATACAAGTGTGCTCCACAGGGTTTTCATTGGCTGATTTTTAGGAGATTGCCAGACCTTTCTTCCAAGGTATCTCTGGGTGGATTGGAACAATCAACCTTTGGGTTAGGCAACCCCGCACATTCACTGTTTACACCAGCTAGAGACTCCAGAGAACAGAAAGGATGGTCAAATGCCCCGGAGAGTCAGAGAATGTTTCCCAAAAGAGGTGCCTATCTGCTAAACTGAGTTGAATGAGTGATGAACCTTCAATGGCCAGATACCCAGATGTACACAGCAGAAACTCGCTTCACTGACATTAATAATAAAATTGCAGAGGCAAGCTGAAAAGTATAATCCAGCCATTGTTCCCTTACCACAGACCACAGCAATCTGCAGGGTATTCATCATGATTTGCTTACCACACCCCCCACCCACGCCCCCAAACACTGACTCAGCCAAGACTCCAAAGAATCACTTCCCTTTCTCTGACATCAGCACGTGCACAAACACACACTTTCCCTTGCCGCCAACACCCTTCAGCTTCTGGTTCAACTAAGCAGCAGTCAGCCATCAGGGAAGGAGAGCTCTCACTAGTCCTCTCCAGGACACAATGTTGAGAGGCTTCCCTTCTATTTGTAAATAGGGAAATGCCTACATTCTTTGATATAATGCAGATTTGGGTGTGACTCCAGACCATGCCACTTATGAACTGTGTGACCACGGGAAAGTTCTTGGCCACTGAAAGCCTCAGTTTCTGCATCTGGGAAACGGGGATAATACAGGCACCGCCTCATAGATAGAGCCACTGTGAGGACTGATTAAAAGGGAAAATGCATATAAAGTACTTGGCTGCATAATATCTTGGCAAACTCATGTGCTCAATGTGTCAACCATTAGTATGGGAAGAGGAGGAAGATGTCATTGACAGAATATCCCCCGGGGCCTTTGAAGCACTACTGCCTAGAAAGAAGACCTCCTGTGGAGCATGAAGTCAGACGAAGATGTCAACTCAAGCTTCACCCCATTATCTTAAGGATATGGATGAAGAGGTTAAAGAACTTTCTGTGGATGTAGAATCTCTCACCCATTAATCAGAATAAAGCCTAGTACAAAAGATATCGCTAAGAACCTAGAGATCTGCATTTGATTCTCTAATGTGCATAATGCCCCTTGAGTTACCTCAGTTTACTAAGTGTCCTTTTAGTGGGTGCTTACAACGCGGTAAACCCTGTTTTCGGTGCTTTGGAACTACAAGTCAAGTAAGACATGACCTCTGCCCTGCAAGAGCTCTCGGGCAGTTTCAATGAAGGGTGAGCAAAGTAGGGTACCTTCATTCCTGTCCTGCCAGCAAAGAGTCTGAGCAGGCCCAGTGTCAGGTTACCCAATAAGAAGATAAGCACAGGCTTACTTGTGCTTACTTGATAATCTGCAGTAAACAATTTCACATTTTTCACCACATCATAGATTCTGCTTCTTAAGTATGTCGGCCATCTGTCTCTCTCAAATCCCATAGCACCATCCTACAGAATCAAAGTCTCTTTTAAAATTTATAATCCCTGATAGGGACAGAGTACCCCATAGAAAAGGCAAGCACAGGCTTCCCTGTGCTTACTTACTAATCTGTAGTGAACAATTTTGTTTTTGATGTGGTGAACTCATGTGAAATTGTTTACTACAAATTAGTAAGCACAAGTAACCTGTGGTTACTTTACTATTGGGTAATCCATCCTTGCTGAAGCCCTCCTACCCTCTCTCTCACACTCACACACACACACAAAATTAAATTACTCAACAGCTCCACCTTTAAGTCATATATCTTATGTATAAATCTTAACAGTGAATCTTTAGAACAGTACCATTCTAAAACTACCTTGGGAATCCTTTACCATTTACAGAAGGCTCCGACCCTGCAAAGAAGGTATTGGAGGTGAGAAAATCAAGGTTCGGAGACTAAGAGGCTTGCTCCAGAGTTGCCAGCACTCAAGTGGCAGAACCTGGACTCGAACCCAGTTTGACTGACAACAAACTCCTTGTTCCCTTGCTGTGACCAGATCAAAACTAGTCAAGCCATAACTCACCATTCTCATCCGTTCATCTTCAAGATTCCTGAGCACAGTGGCAAACTCCTGCAAAGATCGTGCTAGAAAAGAGAAAGGGGCCATGAAGTAGGACAGCAATGGCCTTCAAGAGCCTTCAGTTCCAGCTGTTATATTTGGGATTTAAATCCCTTGGCTTGCATACAAATGTAATGTCAATTGCTTCCCAAGGCTCTCCTCATTTTTCAACCATTAACCACTAAGGATAATCCAGAAATGCAAGCTAATCACATCTGGCACTCTAGCTAGGGAAGAATTTCTTCAGGGAAAAGACCTGCCTATTCCTGCATACCCAAGACTGGTGAGTTGTTGGAGGGCTCCCAGTCCCCAGGCTGGAAGGAGCAGAGTTCCTCTTAGGAGTTGGAGGATTTCCTGCCCAGGATTTGACCTCCTCAACTTTTGTTGTGGGGCTGCGTCAGAACTCAACCTTTTCTTTGGCACCAGGTCTAAATAAACAGTGCTGTTGGCATCGCGAGCCACATCTGTGACTTCTCCTTGGGTCCCTCCTCTCTGAGTCCTCAAGCCACTTTATTAATAGAAGGCAGCTTGGGGCACGGTGGTCAGAAGCAGACAGAGTTCCTTTTGCCAGAATTATTTGAAAAGGAAGTAAGTGCAACAGCCTTGCTGATACACAGAACACTTGCACAACACTGGGAAATGCTTCCAGATGGCCAGGAGTTAAACACGAGTTCATTTTCATTCTCTAAGCTGTCTCCTGTCTTTGTTCATCTCCATGTCCCAGCCACTCTGTATGGCAGACATTTGATAAGTTCATTAATTCAATATGACTTTCTCAATTATTGCTCATGTAATAGAGTCAACCAAGATGCCTAGTGTTATGGATTGAATTGTGCCCCTACACATCCCAAATACATATCAGCTTGGCTGGGCCATGATTCTCAGTGGTTTGCAGTTATGTGATGATCCGCCATGATGTAATCTTATGTGATTAACCAACAAGAAGATTAAAGGTGGGACTCTGTTGTTGTTATGTGCCATCAAGTCAGTTCTGACTCACAGAGATTCTACACACATCAGAACAAAACACTGTCAGGTACTGATTGCATCAGCCTCACAAGTGTTGTTACGTCTGAGTCCATTGCAGCTGCCACTGTGTCAACCCATCTTGATGGGGTCTTCCTCTTTTTTGCTGATACACCTACGCCATCCTTAATCTCATCATTCCACTATCACCTCAATGTAAAGGAAACAAAAATCCTCACCACTGGACAAATAAACACCATCCATATAAATGGAGAAAAGATTGAAGTTGTCAAAGACTTCATTTTGTTTGGATCAACCATTAACTCTCATGAAAGCAGCAGTCAAGAAATCAAACAACGTCTTGCATTAGGTAAATCTGCTGCACAAGACCTCTTCAAAGTGTTCAGAGCAAAGACATCAGTTTGAGGACTAGGGTGCACCTGACCCAAGCCATGGTATTTTCAATAACCTCATATGCATGCAAAAGTTGGACAAGTGAATAAGGAAGACTGTAAAAGAATGGATGCATTTGAGTTATGCTGTTAAAGGAGAATATTGAAAGAGCCATGGACTGCCAAAAGAACCAAGAGATCTATGTTGGAAGAAGTACAGTCAGAATGCACCTTAGAAGCCAGGACGGCCAGACTTTGTCTCCCGTGCTTCAGACATCTTATCATGGACCAGTCCCTGAAAAAAGATGTCATGCTTGGTAAAGTAGAGGGTCAGAGAAAAAGAGGAAGACCCCCAACTAGATGAACTGGCACAGTGGCAGCAGCAATGGGCTCAGGCTTAGCAAAGATTGTGAGGTTGATACAGGATTGGGCAGTGTTTTGTTATGCTGTGCATAGGGTCACTTTGAATTGGTGAGGACTCAATGCCACCCTACAGCAGCAAAAAACAATCTCATCAAGACCCTGATCTAATATAAAGGAATTTCTTATGGGTGTGGCCTGCAACACTTCTTATCTTACAAGAGAATAAAGGAGAAAGAAGCAAGCAGAGAAGGGAGACCTACTACCACCACGAAAGAACAGCTGAGTATGGAGTGCATCCTTAGAACCTGGGGTCCCTGAACTATCAACATCTTAGATTCAGGAAAGATCGATGCCAAAAGTGGGACAGAAGTAAATAATGATGAATGCACAACCTGGGAACAACAGGGTTCTGGGATAGAGGGATTGAGGCATGGTTTGAATGAGTAAAAGAGGGGAAATAATGTTACAAAATGCTTGGCTGTCTTTTGAATCTTGGTTTCCCTTGCCTACCATTGTAAAATAGACACTTGAGGAGGAGAGAAAGGAATAGCCAGAAACATCACCATAGAAAGCTTGGAAGTCCGTCTTCAGCCTATAACTGATTGAAATATCTAAAATGCAGCTAGAACTTGCCTAGTGAAAGAGGCTTCCTGCGGAGCCTTTGCAATGCATAAGACTATAGGTGGAATCCTGAACCCCATCAAGAATCTGCTGAGGTGGGAAATTGCCACTTGAAAGGACAAGTAGACCAGCCTGGAGTGGCTAGAAGAACAAAAGATACTTCTTGAAAGAAAGACCAGGAGGAAAAATCAAAAACAATAATGGCAGTCTGATTGACTACTACAAGAACAAGTAAGCTGTTTGCTCGCGAGCCATCAAGGCAAGTGGTCGGGTCCCCTCAGAGCAAACCTCCTTCCAAGACTAAGACTCAAGGGGAATACAGGAGCAGGCATGTGGTCTGGCTGGTAAACATGTTGGTCACTGATATGGGGAAATGGGAGGAATCCAGCAATTAAGTTGTAAGCTAAGTCCAACCATGTTCAACAGACTCCTGTCAACCTGGGTTGAGACCAGATTGGCCAGCAGTATGGCAAGACCTGGGAACTCCTGGGCCCAGAGACAATGACATGGCCACAAAGGACTAGAGTGGAGAGTGAAAGGTCCAGCTGATATGAAGTGAAGGGAGACAGATGCACAAGAACACCCATACTTGCAGACAGTACCCACTTGACCTGGCTTCCATGGGTGGATGGTCAGAACTCGACTAGAAGAAGGAAGAGGTAAAGAAAGAGTAATCCACTACAATTTGATGAACTTGACCTATACTTACGGATGTAGTCTCTCAAAAGAGGGAATAAATCTTTACAGCGAGGATCATTCCCAACCCCTTGGTACACAGGGTTGACAGAGATGGGCAACTTAGACATTGGCTACCCAAAATGGAGGAGCTACAAAGGCAAGAAGTGACTGGTTTACAAGCTTTCAAGAAGGAGCCTAGTTCCAGAGGATATGGGGGAAGGTAGAATCTCTACTGAGTGGTTTCCAAATTGTCTGGATGGGGCTGATAAAAGGAGATGGGAATAAGAATATTGTGGTACAATAGTGAATAATTGCTATCAGGACTGACTATGAGGGTCAGAAATGTAAAGATAGATATTTTGTAGCAAAAGGAAGGGAGTGGTTGATTTTGCAGTCCAGGAGCAGAGGACCCTGGGACCATAAGGAGAAGAGCAGAGTGTGGGACCCCATCCAGAGAAGCAGTGATGCCAGAGATGGAGACAGAGACGATGACGTGGAGAGATGGAGCAGCTTGGGACTCTGGACTCAGGGAGGAAGAGGGGCTGCATGCTGAGGGCTTGGGGGCCGGCTTGCGGGGTGTACCCTTTGGTTGTTTGATGATGCATGGAGGGGATTTTAATCATTGCAATGCAATGAAATAGGATAGGATGAATGTAAAGGTGGTGTTCTCCCGTGTAAGCTATCACATAATACACAATAAAAACTAAACTAAACCAAAAAAGATTGCTGTCCAGATACATGGAGATCACTAAGGAATGTTGGGCCTACAGATGCAGACAGGACACAAGGACCTTACTCCAAACTTTGAGGCTCCCAAACTGTTGAGAGAATAAATTTCTGTTTGTTAAAGCCAGCCACTTGTGGTGTTTCTGCTACACCAGCACTAGAGAACCAAGACACTAGGTAAGAAGAATAAGGTGTAATGACTACGGCCTGGCTAAGAAAGATGTCTTGACACTGAAAATCCTCTGAGTTCAGGGTTTCCTACAGAAGACAGGCAGGCGATGACGAGTGAAAGAGCACAAGCATGGTGACAAATGGTGGCCCACCCTTAGCCTCTGGTGAGGAAGCAACAGGGAGAGAAGGGAACCACAGTAAACTGGGCATTGAGACCACAGCTTATCTGTCAGCAAGAGCAACAGCCGCTACATGGCTTCAGCCAACTGCTGCCGTGACAGAATGTGGGCCCTTTGGTCAGATCCTCCAAGTTTTTAAAGAAGCTTTGTTGTTGTTGTTAAATGCCTTCAAGTCAGTTTCAACTCATAGCAACACTGTATAGAGTTTCCTAGGCTTTAAATCTTTGCAGGAACAAAAGCCGCATCTTTCTTCAATGGAGTGTCTGGAGGGCTGAACCATAGACCTTGTGGTTGGTAGTCCAGTACTTATCATGTGGAGCTGCCAGGAAGCTAGAAACCTAGAATTTTATATAAACTCCACTTATATGATAATTTGATTTTTAAAACTTGAGAGCCAAACAAAGCATGGGTGAGCTCTGATCGCAGATCATGAGTTGCCATTTTGCAACCTCTAATTTAATTCTTTCCTTATCTATGTGCATGCAGTTTGCTTTTGCTCTACATTGTTAGTACAAGGGGTTGTCAAAAAGTTTGTGGAAAATGGGATGAAAAGATCATGGAATTTTCCAACAATTTTGTAAGCCCCCTCATAGTGTGGTGGTAGAGGGGGAAGGCGACAGCAGGAGACAATATCACAAAACCATTCAGAAGAAGACAGCTAGAAGAAGGTAGAGAAGAAAGTCCCTTGGCACAATCTCAAGTTTTCTCCTAATAGCCAGAGTGAGCAAGGAAATCCCAGACTCTGGTGAGAAGCCCAGAATATCCCAGGCCCCTGGATCCTCACATTGTAACGATGGACTTCTTTCTTTACTAACCTCAACAATTTCCTTTCCCAGGAAGAAAGGGCCTGCTTTGACACTGAGGGAGACCTGATGTAGTGCTGTAGTGCAAGCCCAAGGTCTACAGTTCAAACCTACCAGCCGTTTCTCGGAAACCCTTTCAGACAGGTACAGGGTCCCTAATTAGATGGCACTTCACAGCAACATGCCACAGAGAGTTATGGTGAGCCAGAAACTGGGTTATCTTATGGAAGATTAGGACTTACCTATGCACATTTCATCATCCGTTTCTGCATCTCCTATGCACTGGAATTTAAATTCATTTAAGGAATCGGCAAATTTCCTCTTGGCTGAAGACAAGTCTAGGAAGAATAAGAGGGCAAAAGAAAATATGAAATTACTGAAATCAACTGATTTTTTCTATTTTCTCAGTTTTTAATCCTTGTATTCATACAGCAGCTAGCAGATTTGATCCCGAGTCCATTTCAAAGCACAAATACACACATATGGAGCCCTGGTGTGGTGCATGTAGGATAAACACCAGACTGCTAACCACAAGGTCAGAGATTCAAACCCACAAGTCACTCTTCAGAAACCCTATATAGTGTCATCAAGAGTCAGAACTGACTCAATGGCATTTAACAGCAACAACATATACATAAATGAGGAGGCTTCAAAAGTTTATGAAAAAATGAAAATAAAAAAATTTTGGAGCTTTTGAAGCCTCCTTGTACATGGCAATTCAGTATGTTGTTGTTACGTGCTGTCGAATCGGTTCCAACTCATAGCGACTCTGCATAGGGTTTCCAAGGCTTTAAATCTTCATTTAAAGATGAACAGAAAGCCTCCTCTTTCTCCTGAGGAGCAGCTGGCAAGGTCAAATCACAGACTGTGTGGTTCGCCATACAGAACTTATCATATGAAGACACCACGCTTAGCAATTCTGAAGAGCAAATACATTATTTATAACATCAAGCATTTATTTGCTTTAGAAGTTAATTTTTTTGTTACATTTGCTTTGACAATTCTCATCATAACTATAATTCCTCAAGCCACAAAGAGCTCCCTGCCACCTCTATTTGACACATTCACCTCAAGAAGTCAGGTAGGAGGCTGGGTCAGAGCTCATACCAGAATACAAAGCTCTATGGGTCCATTTGGCCAATACTCCCCCTGTGGTCATTGTAGCTGCTCTTACATTTGACACATTATCTTCCCCTATTGTCCAGGTAGTGCAAACAATTAACACATTCAGCTTCTAAACTAACTGACGAGAGATCACCCAGAGGTACCTAGGAAGAAAAATAACTGGCAATCTACTTCTGAAGCTCTGTGGAGCATGGTTCTACTCTCAGACTCACATGGGGTTGCCATGAATGAGAACCCACTTCACGGCAACTGGTATATGGGTACACGACTACCTTCACAACATAAACTGACATCAGTTAGAAAACCAGGGGAAAGCTGGAGGCCAGGGCATAGTGCTGCCCCATCCCAATGACACAATCAACCTGACTTCCTCTGTCAAGGCAAGTGCAGCAGAGGTCCGCATCCTCAGAACCCTCCCCAGCTCTACTCAAGAGCAGAGAGGCCAGACAGCTGACAATGTCCCTGAGCCACCACAGTCCACCATCACCCTGACGATGTCTGGAGCCGGGGCAAAGCCACAACCCACATAAGCTGTTGTTGTTAAGTCCTGTTGAGCCGGGTCCAAGTCGCAGCAACCTTGTATAGGGTTTCAGAGGAGCAGCAGGTGGGTCTGAACCTCTAACCTTGTGGTTCGAAGTCCAGTGCTTATCCTACAGCGCCACACCAGGACTCCTCATACATGTTATCTATAAAGAAAGCGATCTGAGGTCCTTCTCGAATTTTTTAAATAAGCTTTCATTTAATACAGTCACAAAAGCCAATGATCCTTCATGAACCCTCGGCTTCTGCTCAGGGTATAAAACCACCCAGGTACCTTTCAGTGGCCTGGCAGACACTGCTGCTCGGCACAAATGTGCTTAACTTAATTCTGTGTGCAGCCTTCCTGCAGATTAGACTAATTGTTCAAATTACCCTCAGACATGTTGCCCTCGTTGAAAGGGAAATGGCATTATGTACAGATTCCCAGAGGAGGGAAATATGAGGCATAACTAGTAACAAGGCCTGGCTTTAATAAGATCTTCTGAAGGGAAACAAAAACATAGAAGAAAGATATTCTGGCTTCACAGATCAACCTAACCTACTGGAATAAAAGCACCCCTAAACTCAGCATATCTTTTGTTAGTTCCCAAACTAGTCCCTTGAGGTCAGGAGCCATGTCTTTCACCTGTGGGTTTTGTTTTCTCCTCTCCACAGACCTGGCAGTGCTTCCTGTTCACTGTGTGCTGATTAAGTGGGAGTGAGGTGCATTGTGTACACATCCCAGCCCAATGCTCAGCTCTCTAATCAATGCCCATGTTCATTCCAAACAGCAGCTGTTAGTGGAGGAGTCAGGTCTCACCGTCGTGGGCCCAGGCTACTGCTGGGAGACCAGCGGCCCCTGCTCCCAAGCTACTCTCCCACCAGCTCCAATGGCACAGGTCCCAGCTAGCTGGGACTTGAGCAAGTCAGTCCTCTCTATACCATAAAAGGAAGGCACTTCTTGTTGTTGTTAAGTGCCGTGGAGTCGGTTCCGACCTATAGCAACCCTGTGTAGGGTTTCCAAGGAGCAGCTTGTGAGCTTGTTGTTCAAACCGACCTTGCGGTACAGCTCATTAACCCACAGCACCACACCAAGACTCCAGGAAGGCATTGAGGGGTGAAGCAAGAAAACACAGGAGCAAAGAGCCAGTTAGTCTCTACTCTCTCCCTAGTCCTCCACTTTAACGCAAAGATCCCTTGCCAAAAGTCAAAAGGCAGGTGCATCAGGTATCTCTCAAACTGACAAGCCCAGTTGAGGACATCCTTAAGCACACAAGTCACCCCGAGGCAGTCAAGACAGAAACAGCTGCATCTGAAAGTCAGAACAATGTGGAGAAGACGAAAAGAGGAGGCCGCAGACAGTAGAAAGGAGAGAGAGAACAATATTTCAGAGTGGAAACTATACCCCTCCAAGAACCCCAAACTGTGTACCCAACTGGGTGTGGTTGCAAACATGTTTGTTTTAGCAAGAAAGCTCCCCCTGGCCAGAATCTAAAAAGGCAGGCCTAGGTAAGAGCAGGTTTGGTTCTTTTCCACCTAATTATCTTCCTGTGCCTCTCCAATAAGGCAAGAAAGACTCAAGCTGGACAATCATTTCAACAAAGTGAAATATAAGCCCAGCTTGGGACAGCTCCCAGCCTGAAAAGGTCCCACCTGAGAAGCTGAGCTGCCATGGGCAGCTGCCAATGAGGATCAAGGTGTGGCTCATAATGTACAACGGGGCCTTTGTGGGGCCTTTTCATAGGAGGCCACAGGAAGGACCCACTGATCCAGGCCCAGGTCTTTTACCTTATGACCAGAAGGTAACCTGGTTTCATTCTCCTGGGGCACACAGCACACCTGAGCTCAAACCTGAGAAGAAATATGGGCCCCAGAAAGCCGATAAAGAGGCCATTCCTCCTAATGGAAGGGTGGGTCATGAGTACCGGTATGGGGCTGATGGCCGGTGAGGACAGCAGGGCAGAGTAAGAACCCCAAATCCTGCAACCTAAAGAGGTCTGAATGGACACCTGTGCTCAAGCTTGCTCAAAATTCATTCCCCAGTCTTTGGAAACAGCACTTCACACCTACTTTTGGAGAAGGCCCCTTCTTCAATTGCATTCCATAGGGTTCTGGTTACAGGCTAATCCACCCCCCTTCCCAAGGCTTGCCTTCACCCAACGGCACCTCATTGGCTTCTGGGTTCAAGTTTCGGCTCCACACTTACCAGATATACCACTAACCCTGGGTTAGTCATAAAGTCTCAGTTACAGCATCTGTCAGAAGTTATCAACTTTACTAACTCGCAGAGCTCTCAGGAGACTCCAGTGAGGCACACTGTCTGTATAAGCACTCTTTGTACACCATAGGGTTTAGGTCTAGGTAAGACTGGGTTATTCACTCCCAAGATCTGAATCCTCCAGCGATGGACCATAACCTAGGGAGTTACGGCCTGCATGACTACCCATATTTAAAGATCAGAGAAGCTAAACCATGCACCTAAGAGCACACCGTCACTAAGGAACCAATGTGGCTTAAACCTCTGAACTTAACACAGCATGGGGGGACACCATACTGCCTCACCCCACTAAGATAGACCTCTCTCTGTTACATAGGACTACCAAGAAGAAACCAAAATCAGAGTACCCCAACGCCATTATTCCTGACAATTTCAACCCAAAAGGATAAGCAGTGTATAGTTGGTTCACCTTGAATATGCAGTTCCCCAAAGCGTTTTTTCTGGAGTTCTTAATCTGATGCACACAGGAATCTAAATGCACATTCCAGGAAGAGGAGACGAGAAGGAGAAGAGGCTGGTACCAGCTGGGAGCATGCCAAGCTCCGTAGTACCCTGCTCATATAACCCTACTGTTTCATGTTCAGGCATTGCAAGACACAACAAGATCCAAGCGGAGTCAGTAATATTCACTTTGCAGAAACATCTGTTACTAGAGAGGCAGAATATTTAGCCAGAGCAGTGAGAAGTCATAACTATCAGTATCTGGGGAGGGCAAGAGTAGGTAGGCTCTGTCACTGTGAGCAAAACCAGAAAGATAAGGGACATAGAAGCAACTAGAAGTCTGAACCTCAAGACTCTGCTTCCTGAGCTGTCTGCTCACCATGAGACCAGAGGCAAGTGCCCCTGGGGTGCCATGCTCTCCCTCAACAGAAACAAATCTGTGTGGGGTTTAAGGGAATTTAGTCAAGTATGATCTCTCTTTTGCTACAACTGGGAATTTATCATATTTAAAAGTTGGAATATAACTTAATTTTACACAAGTTTTCCAGGAAACACTGCAAGTCATTTCTCTTGTTTGCTGGAGTATAACATAGCACACATATGTGAACGCATAAACATACACTCACATGTATGTTGTTGTTGTTAAGTGTCGTTGAGTCAGTTCCAACTCATAGCAACCTAGTATAGGGTTTCCAAGGAGCAGCTGGTGAGTTTGAACCACCCATCTTGTGGTTCAAGATTGTGTATGTGTACACACATGTATACAGTCACATAATGAAGGACTCAACATAGTCTTAGAATTATATTTAGTTTTAGGCACCTTCCTGCAACCTCAAAGTTACCAATACTGTATTTGACTACCCTTAAAAGTATTTGCTACTCAATGACATTGTCCTCTCTGAACTGGAAAACTGGTTGAAGTTAGTAAGACCAACTGTCTAGTCAAGTATCTGCAACAAAACTGACTGGTCTTCT